GAGGAAGAGGGAATCGGATGAACAAATAAAATAAATGATTTAAATATCTCTGAATTAAACTACCTGGGGCCGCTCAGTTCGATTAGGAGGACTCAATGCAGTYCCCCCCCCCCCCAAGGGGATTGGTTTGAACGCCTGAATCTGAACGTGTTTATGGAGACGTGCGGAAAACGGCTATTGAGCTTCTTCTTTTCTGCATCTCTACAAAAAAGACATCCAGATTCAGCCGCTTCATTCAATCCTCTTTGCCAGTGGAACCTCGCCCCTCACGAGGAGATGGAGGAAGGAGATGGAGGAAAGTAAACCGGACAAGATTTCGCCCAGAGCTCTGCGGACCACCTCCCCGAACACAACGCACCCTGATCATGAACATATGTATACTAGCTGGTTTTCCGGCCCGATACGGTTATAATGAGGGTGCGTTGCTTTCGGTGCGTTCGGATGAAGTCTACTAGCTGGTTTTCCGGCCCGATACGGTCATAATGAGGGTGCGTTGTTTTCGGGTGAAGACCAGCTGGTTTTCCGGCCCGATACGGTCATAATGAGGGTGCGTTGCTTTCGGATGAAGACTGGCTGGTTTTCCGGCCCGATACGGTCATAATGAGGGTGCGTTATGTTCGGGTGAAGCTGGTAGCTTCGGCAGCTCAGAGAACGAGCAATAAAAAATGGACTCCGAGGAGGAAAAGAAGAAGAARWRAAAAAMAAAAATCAATAAACGAACGGAGGAGGAGACRAAAAAAACATTGAAAGCTTCCCGCGTAACCACCACATCTCCCCCCCCACAARAAAAAAAAAAAAAAAAAAAAACCGCCGAAAAACGACAAAAAAAAWGAAGCCGATGATGGGGAACAAGGGAGAAGGAAGAGAGAGGGAATGGAGCGAGCAGATGGAGCAGCAGAGATGAGAGAGAGAGAGAGAGAGAGAGAGAGAGAGAGAGAGAGAGAGAGAGAGAGAGAGAGAGAGAGAAGAAGGGTGATGTCGCGGCAGTAGGCGGGGTGCGACGTAGTCGAAGGTCAAGAAGAAGAAGAAAAAAGTGCAAAAAGAAGTTATCGAAAGGTCGGGCAGAGACGGCCAAACCCGCGAAGACGAGAGTGCCCCTGACTGCGAGTAAAAGCATAGTCACACCAGCACAATCTTAAATGATGTATTTGACCGTAATTACGGCCCTACTTGGATGCATCTGACCGCAATTGCGTCTGGAAATAAGGGAAAAGGTCCTCCTAGTGTGAGTATGCTGCACTGACTGATTGAGTGAGTGAACAAGTGAGTGAGCGAGTGTACCTTTTGCGAGGACCGGGCACAGGGCAAAGCATTCGCGGCGATGGCGTAGTTCTTTCTGCCCGAAGAGGATGAGCCATGTGGCGCGCCGACGTTGAGCTTAGCGCTGGCCGTGGCCGCGGCAGCGGCCGCCGTCGTCGCTGCTGCCATGCTGGCGCAAAGCGAGAGAACGAGGGGAAGACGACGATGGCGATGGCGTCCTTGCCGCTACGCCCTCTGCCTTGCAACACTCGCTCGGTGCGGACACACCCACGCTCTCTTTCCTCCTCGTGCTCCCCTCTTGCTCTGTCCTCACCCTCCCTCTTCCCTTTTTTGGTTTTGGGGCCAGAGCAATCCAGCCAGACCAGCCACCCCCTTCCCCTGTGACAAGGCCGGGCCTTTCCGGTGACAAGCCGATACCCTTTCCGGGGGAATTCCAAGGCCCCACCTCCCCCCTCCTCCCCCCCCTCCAACCCATTGTTCCCCTTGCTTTTCAAAGCAAAAGGAAAAAGGAAATAAGCATTGTTCCTCTCTGGCCGTCGATCATCTTCGTAATCGACAATCAGAAATGTAGAAATTTACTCCAGACCCTCCGAACCAAGTGCACCACGTGGGGAAAACCTCCTCCTCCTCCTCCTCCTCCTCCTCTCTCTCTCTCTCTCTCTCTCTCTCTCTCTCTCTCTCTCTCTCTCTCTCTCTCTCTCTCTCTCTCTCTNCTCGCTCTCTCTCTCTCTCTCTCAAAATCTGTCTATCGCCTCACTTCACCTGTCTACCATTGATTTTTCCGCGAAGGGGGGGGGGGGGATATCGTCTGGCTTCAGAGGGCTGATGAGCATCTCCACCCCTCTTTAACGTCCTTTTTTTCGTTCTTTCTCAATTACCTTCTTCTCCGATTGTTTCTAGCCGAGGACAATGGTGGGTCCTGGGGATAGGTCCCACTAGCAAAGAGGATTGGATTTAATGCCTAAATCTGGACGTGTTTCTGGCAAGGTGCAGAAACATCTCTGCGTACCGCGCTCGGTCGACTGTGCACAATAGATTGGAGATGAAATGGCCTTGGGGGAGAGAGAGAGAGAGAGAGAGAGAGAGAGAGAGAGAGAGAGAGAGAGAGAGGGAGGCGCGGGGGAAGGGGGTTCTCTCTCCTTTCGTCTTCTTTCGACGATAGGAACGGAACAAATCTGGAACAGGAATAGGGAAGCAAAGACAAGAAAAGGGAAGGAAAAAAAAAGCTCGAGACGCGCGATCACAGCTACCCTTCTTCCACCGAATACAACGTAATGTCATTATATCTGTATCTAGACTGAAAGATGCCTCAAATGCAGCCAGCTATAATGACCGTACGTTGTGTTTGGGAGAAGAAAAGGTACGCCAACTCGGGAGCGCTTGGTCGGTTTTGCTCGTTTCTTGATAAGTGGAGGGATGGCGAGAACTTGAAGAGGGAAAAAAAAAAAAAAAAAAAAAAACATGAAGAGGGAGTCCTTCACGCGGGACATCCGTGAAAATTGGAACGGTACAAAGAAGATAGATTTTTATTTATTTATTTTTCAAAGAAGATAGATCAGCACGGGCCCTCCTCTTGCTCAAGCAAGGATGACACTCGTTAATCGATCGAAAAACGATACAAATCAATAAAAATAAAAACAAAAGAAAAAGGATGACACTCGTTAATAGATCGAAAAATGATACAAATCGAATAAAAAGAAAAAAAAAAAGAAAAAGAACATGGCCAGACAGAACGGATAAGTTCCTGATCCACAGGCTGCGAACCGCGTCAGTCGTTTGTGGACAGCGCTCCCTCTCCTCGCCCATCACCAACACTGAGCGCGCGCGCGCGAGCGCGCGGGCTGCCGCACACCGAAACACATATTACCAGGGGAGGCTTGATGAGCCTCTCTAGGTCTGTGGGCCTTGCTCCACTGCTAAAAAGTCCACATGCATCTGGACTGCCTCGCAGCCAGGATACATTTCGAATGCTGTGTGGTGGAGCAAGGCCCTGCGGAGCAATTTTCAGTGGGGCCCTTGGGTGGCCAGAGTAAGGGCCTTGATGCACTACTCACCCGTATCTTTCAGCAAGGAGGAGGAAAAGGGGTAGTAGCCTTTTTTTTTTTTTTTTTTTTCTTACTACGGAAAAGGGGTACTAGCCATTTGCCCGTCTCTCTCTTCTTGTCAAGTTTTTGGTCTTCTCTCATTTGGGCGAGTGGTGGAGAGAGGCCCAAAAGAAAAAGAAGGGAAAAAAAAAAAAGAGAGAGAGAGAGAGAGAGAGAGAGAGAGAGAGAGAGAGAGAGAGAGGTGAAATTCTCTCTCGTTCAGCTTGGGTACAAGTTGTGAACCACAAGCACACGGCTGCTGCTACGATTGTGACGCTTGAGGTGGACGCTGTTCAATCTGCGGTGCTGGTGGACCAGGTCCACACATCGACCAGACAGTATTGGTTATCGTCTAATCAGGGAGGATCAACTACTGGTTTTCTAAGATGATTCATAAGGTTACCAATTATCGAGAAACGGTTGTGCTTGACCCCATGAAGAAGGTACGCCAGCTTGTGCAACTTGTATCTGGCTAGGATAGTTGCTAAACAGTCAACGGTTTGACCCCACGAAGAACATACGCCAACTTGTGCAACAGCACATCAGTGACTTTATCTCTCCCTTCTTGTTCCCGTTTTCTCCCCCTCCCTCACCAATCCGACTAAAAGTCTCGCAAGCTCGATTCTGTCTCTGAGACTCTCTTTTTCACGAATGATAGCGAAATCAGTCGATGGGATAACCAAGTGAGAGGAGTGGGGGTTTGGGGATCAGAAAGTCCCAGTGTGCTGACAACGATCAAGCGAGGTTGGCAAGTTCACTGTGACGGGCTCCGAAGACTCGGGCAAATCTGGCATGTTGATCAGGGCAAGCAGTGTGGCGATCTTTGAGTATGAGAATTAGCATGTGACGATGCACTGTCAACATTTTGTGATCTTTGAATCTAAGAATTAGCATGTGACGATGCATTGTCGGCACTTTGCTTGGTGGAACCTTATTTTTATGATCGATCAAGTTTTAATTTCAAGAGGGGGGGGGGGGCAACTCGCTTCTTTTTTTTCGAGAACAATTATGTGCTAAAAGTTTTCGTGTATATGCATATATGAAATGCCATATATGCAATGAGTTTCGATGGTATCCCTTCCTTCTCTTTGATGTCATGATGTATGTGGTTCCTCTACTATAAGATCCATGTGATTGGATATTCCCACGTTGAACGATCTACAAGTTATTGTGTGTAAATGCATATGCATCAGGGGTAAAGTGTTTGAATGCAGTATGGTTTGATTAAAATGATCAAATGTCACTCTTTTGAACAATCTATAAGTTCTTCTGTATTGATACATATGCATGAGGATTGAAGTGCTTAAATGTAAGTATGTGACATTGCACTAGCAACGTAATTGTTATTTAATGTATGACTGGATAACTAGGTTTCCTCAACAATTTATGCCTCTTATGGTTCTTCCTTCACCAGATGACCCTTCATGTTCGGATCATATTTTATTAACCATTCATAACATAATCAAAGGCAATGAGCGTGACAATGGCATATTAGAGGAGCAAAGGCCCGAATATATTTTTTCTACGTTTTCCCAACAAAACACATTGTCTGTAATATGCTAAGTTCAAATTCATGATTGTTAAGGCTTAAGACCACTTTTAGTATTTTTTTTCTCCAGATAGTGTGTTTGCAGTGCTACCACAACCAGAAATTTACTTACATTTGTTTTGATGCTTGAAAACATTTGTTTTGATATTGGTGGTTAACACAAATAAAAAAATAATGTAGATGATTAACCATCAAATGAATATTAAACATGCATTAAAATACTCTCATTAATAGGATTAAATCAAAATTAGTAATGTTCAAAAAAGTATAATTCCTACCTAATTGAAGGTAGAAAACTTTTCCACATATACTATGCATTGTATGCATTACATTATAACTCCTCCAACGAACCCATAACTACCACCATGTAGACTATGCAGCATACGTTAATCACTCTTTGCATTTGTTGAGAATTTTTGATAAAACGTCTACGATATGGCATAATTCGTTTTTTATGTCTATCTACCAGTGAAGTTTAGGCAAAAAAAAATTTACTTCATCTGAGCAACTTCTCCCTGCCCAAGCATAAATTGCATTAACCTCAACTGAAAATAAGGACCCCTTGATAAAATAGATAATCCAAAAAGCTCCATCACCACGTCACTATCCAAAAATGATACCTTTACGACAAGAGGGCAAATGGTTGAACCATAAACCTTGGTGGATCGACATAAAATAAAAAAACATAAGAGAATCACTTCGTGTCCAACGATTCGATGAAGATGTCTAGATGTCTGGATGCTTAGAGGTTGGCAACAGTAAGTCAAGTACAACCATAAATACTCCCTTCTCCTCTATAATGCTCACAACTTTGTCAGTTGAAGCATTTGATAAGCAAAAAAAAAAAAAACAGTCAATTTTGATACCACGTTACGGTAGAGTTTCACCAACTTTCATCATGTCAAATCTTCTTCCTATATATTATTCTTACACAAAAAAAATTTTGTTTGTAACACAAACTTATGATAAAAAAATTCAATTGACTTCATAATTATACTAGGTAAATTTTGAGAATTTTGTAGCATCGTATTCGCATTTGGAGACGAACCCGAACGTGTTCGGCTGAACGCGAACTAGCGCCTTAAACACTCCGAACTTGAACACAAAAGAATGTTAAAAAAAACTCTCAGAAAAATATGAAAATACAACATATCATGTAAAACAATACAAACACCTTTTGTCTTGGAGTAACGTTCATATTTTTAACCGAACGTGAGTTAAAAGTTAAAAATCGTCAAAAATATATTTTTTTTTATTAAAAAAAAAAAGTGCGCCCGAACACGTTCGCGATCTGTTCACGCGAACTCACGAACACGTTCGCCGTGCTACACAGGTTCATACCATTACCTAATTGTGTTTCACTAAAAACCTAATCTGCATCCGTTCACATGTTCTAACGACTCTATATCAACCATAACAAAAATAAGTAAGAAAAACAAGATAATCCACTAAAAACATCAATAAAGTGTGAGAGGATCAAAAAGAAGATTATTGAAAGAATACAAACAATATGTGCATCTAGTAACACTTGTTGCTGTTGTAAGGAAGCATGTGTGTGGAGCACTTATCCTGAGGACAACTCACCTCACGTTGGTCGGCCTACAAAAATCGAGAATACATATTCATTTATTTCGAGGAAAAAATAATAGCTTGTAACGGTCATTCACAAAAATCAATCAATACAAATTAATTGATCCTCAAATGACACACATTTCATGGGCTATAGAAGCTAAATTGTCGAACTC